ACTCAACCACTGAGCCACGCCGGCTGGGCTGTTTTCTGCTATTTTAAATGCTCTGTGTTCTCCTTCATGACCTTGTACAATTAAACATGAACAAGGCACCATTTTTACCATACAAGGATCTCATGGGAACTGTACATTTGAATTGAAATAGTATATATGCAATAGTTGCTTTACAAGAAAAAAGATTGTTTAATAAAATATACAATTTTAAATATTTAATACAGTTATTTAATAAAATATCCACTTTAAATAATTACAACCTAATAATTGTATTAGTAGCTAAGAATATTATGTATATGCCATATAGACAGTGCCTATACCTCACTATACTGTACATGCATTGCTGAAGTAAAAGAGTTCATGTTGCCTTAAGAGTGGTCTTGGGTCTGTTTCTCGGGTTGAGGGCGTTTCCCGAGATGATGAAAATTTGGACCCAGGATGTGCAATGCGTGGGGAGTGGTCTCCCGGGCACACTGAGTAGCATCAGGAAGGACCTCTTACTGATCAGGCCATCAGTCCAGTGATCCAGGCTGCAGCCTTCCAGAAAACATCTCAAAACACATTGCAGATGTCAGCATCGAAGCTAGAGCGGAGAGTAAGAGAGCCTCCATGCAGGCACTAGCAGGCCTGCTCTAAAACCTGAACCGGCCCCAAGGCGGGAACGGGGTTTCCAAGATAGGGCAGCATCCGGAGTCAAAGGGAAAGTTAGAAACCTCCGCACGGAAATCTCACAGTCCCCGTGCAACCACGAAGGCGGGCAGCGAGATCGCGCCCTGGGAAGTGGGAACTCCAGGCCCAGGCACCCCCCGGGGGCTGTGACTCGCGTCCTGTTGGCACCGGCAGGCTGTGCACAGAGAGGGGAGGACCTGAGGACCTGGGGATGCACCGATGCCGAGTGACCGCTCAGCCCAGACATGATCAAAGCGTGCAGAGGGCGCGGGCATCTCCTCTCTGCAGGGCACGCCAGCTCCAGTCTGCACCTGCAGGGCTCCCGGGGGTGGGAACGAGGCTGCTCCCCGTGTCACGGTTACTAGGAGGCTTCAGACTGCTGTGGGCCCAACGATGGGTTCCAGCCCTGCCGACTTGGAAAGTAACAACAGCAACACCACCCCCATCAGAGGAGCCGAGCGGACCGGAGGACAGCAAGAGGCGCTGGAAGGGGTTGAGCAGTGCAGCTCGGTGCCACCCAGTTCTGCTCCAGAAAGTCCCTGAGCAGCTGCGGTCCGATGGGAAAAGCCAGTGACACCACAGCGACGGGGTTAGTGACAGAGAAAAGCTGGAGAAAAGCAGCAGAGACCCAGGGCTGGAGAAAAGCAAGCTCGTGTGATTTTGCTCATGGTGTCCCCCGCACGTTCGCATGATGAAATCGCCTAAGGATGCCTTTCTGAGAACTGTACCCGTCATTACTCCTGACAGTAATTGTAAAAGGAATGAAAGATAAGGAGCTAATAAGTCTTAGGAGAACACTTTGGCCCAGGTTAGCACCTGCCTGGAGATGGCTGAGCGTGTCAGGAGCTGCCCCGCTCGGTGCTTCTGTTCTCGCTGAGCGTTGGCATGGAGTCCTCCCTGTGTGAAGCCGCCGTGCGTTTGCAGGATTCAGAAGGGACGCCACTGTGTTCTAAAGATGCTTTCAAATCAGGACACCCACCTGGTACCACAGTGCTGTCCTTGGACCTGAAGTAGGAAATCCTACGAGGACCTGAGATCAGGGGGGGCGGTTCCTGCCAGGCACCGGCCCCTTGGGAAGGAGGGGGAGGCCCACAGGCACCATCACCCTGGCCATGTGGGGGCCTCTCTAACCCGGGACCACACAGCTTCATGGCGTTTCCCTTTATGCTGTTGGTGTCCAATAGCACAATTCCCGTATGAGTGGCGTCTGTGGTTTTGAGTTGTCTCTTCCGAATAGTTCACATCCTCCCATCTAGGTGGCCGAGTCCTGTTCTCCTACTTTGGAAGCTGCTTAGGGCCTGGAATGAAATTTTAATCTGGGATCGGATGTAAAGCACCGTCAGCCTCCAGAACTGGTGTTAAATGAGCCAGTTCCCCAAAGAGAGGCTCGGCCTTCGGGGGCTGGGGCCTCACTTGTTTCCCTGGGGCTTCCGTAACTCGGTGAATCAAGATTTTTGGTGTTTTCCTCATCATTAAATTCAAGTTCTAAATGAATCTCTGCCTCCAGATTACAAGGCATTAATTTTGTTCTAATTGTCATGTGCGCCAGACCTTCCAGGGCCAAATGCTGTTTATAAATCATCCCCGGTGCCTGTTGCCTTGGTAACCGGAGTGACGGGCTCATTATTTCTGAGGGAGACCGGAGTTGCCGACACCTCTGTGTGAGTGTGAGATAAGGGGAGCTTAGCCATTGCTTTTGTTTAGAGTCGTCTTATTTACTTGTAGTACCTGAAGGTCAATGACTGTAAGCTGGGGCGGATTAGACTGAAAGGCGGGAAGCAGAAAGGCATCCCTGGGAAAAGATGCAGGCGGCACCATTTCATTCTACCTGCTTAGGAACGCCCTCCTAAGACTGTAAAAATGGAGCTAGAATGTATCCCATGCTTAGTGAAGTGATAAAGAAGCGTTTTGCAGCTTACTCGTTCGCATGACCCTAGGGCTTGGAAAAGCCATTTTTCTTCACTAAAATGTGGAGGTGGGTAGGTATGAAGTGATCCCCAAGTCCTTCTCAGTACGATCACTCAAGCCAACTTCACATAAACCTAAATTCATACTAATCTGTATATATAAAAGCCTAAGCAACCGTTATGGCTGAATGACTGGTTGCTATGACGCGCACTGAGCAGGCAGGCAGGCAGGCAAGCGATCCCGGATTGCGAAAGGGATGTCCGACTGCCTGCTTAGGCCCTATCCCTAAACCGGCAGTCAGACATCCCCCAAGGGCTCCTAGATTGTGAGAGGATGCAGGCCGGACTGAGGGACCCCTCCCCGCTCTCCCTACCGCCCCATGTACTGGGCCTCGATCCAGAATTTCAAGCATTGGGCCTCTAGTTTATAATAAAATACATAAAGTCTGTATTACCTGTAACCAAATCACACTGAAGTTCAAAGTTACTGGCTTATTCCTTTCCGGTTTATTTTCGTATTTGTTACATTTTACTCAGTTTAAGGAGCCTAAAGGAACAGCCCTCTGGAGTCATTTGAATCATCCTCACAGTATATGTGAGCACTGTTCTTTCAGAGCCCTGGCAGGATTCCCCTTTTTATGTGAAAAAGTTACCTAGTAACATCCACCTCTAGAATTTAATTCCAGACTCGGCCTTTGCAGACCATCTTAAAAATCACTGTAATGCAAATGCCATATTCTGATCATTGAAACCATTTTGAGGATATAAATTCCTGTCTGATATTTTGTCCCTCCTCCTCCTCCTCTTCCTTTTTGTCAGATTACAAATTCCTTTTCTTTATCAAGGATCCCTGTATCTGTATCCAAGAGGGAAGAAATATATGTGTGTGTGTGTGTGTGTGTGTGTGTGTGTGTGTGTATGTTTTTAGGGGCAGAAATATGTTTTTATTGATTTGAGAGAGAGGAAAGGAGAGGGAGAGAGAGAAATATCGATGATGAGAGAGAATCATTGATCAGCTGCCTCCTACATACCCCACACAGGGATCAAGCCCACAACCCCGGCATGTGCTCTGACTGGGTATTGAACCTTTAACTTCTGGTTCATAGGTCGATGCTCAACCACTGAGCAACACCACCTGCACAGATATACATATACGTATACATATACATATACATATACATATACATATACATATATTTCAAGTTATAGATATGATGTGTGTGAAAGCCTAGCACGTCAGGTCTACGTAAATAAAGTTCCTGGCCCATCACGGGCTCTTAGCAAGTGCTCCTTCCCTGTAGCCTCCCCTTGTGTGAGCTTACCTTGGCCAGGAACTGCTTGCTCATAGTGTGATGCAGGTGGGAGCACGGTGCTGGAGGCAGACACCAGCTCTGTGACCTGCACACGTGGGAGAAGCTCGCTGGGACCTGCGCATCCCTGGGGACAAGGCCCACCTCTCATTTCTTGTGTGAAGATTGTGAGGAACTATGTAAGCGCCTGGTCAGGGGATGGTGGCAGCTGTCATGATCCTCACATGTGCCTGGCACTTCAGATACTCTTTGCTAGCCTCCGTGAAATTCTGTTATCCCCATTTCACAGAGGTGAGAATTGGAAAATCTCCTTTGCTTTATCCAGTGCTCAGCCCCACCACGCTGCCTGTAGTCTGTGAGTGTGGTCTTCATCACCTCGTGTCTCTTCCCAGCCCGACAGCTCCATTTAAAACAATCTGCTCGGCCGGCGTGGCTCAGTGGTTGAGCGTTAACCTATGAACCAGGAGGTCATGGTTCGATTCCCGGTCGGGGCACAGGCCCGGGTTGCAGCTTGTCCACCCATGTGGGGCGTGCAGGAGGCAGCTGATCTATGATTCTCTCTCATTATTGATGTTTCTATCTCTCTCTCCCTTCCTCTTTGAAATCAATAAAAATATACTAAAAAATAAAATAAAACAATCCTTTCCTCCTTCCTGGCTTTTGAAGTTGTACATGTTCTTCAGTGTAAGCCAGGCTGTATCATGAATTCCTCTCATCCTCCAAAAAGGACTCACAAAAGGAAGTTCTCTGTCTTGCCTTCCGACTCCCATAATCCCTCACTTTCCTTCGAGGGTGAGAACCCGGGGGGGCAGGGGCCTTATCTCCATAATCCTTGTGACCCGGGAACTCTCCACGCGGTGATCTTCCACAGCTCCTCACAGCGAGGCCATAAATGATGATTGATCATTGGCAATTCTCCTTTTCTTCTTCCGGGTGATTTTGGCCCGATTGATTTGTCTTGGGAACTCTGAACATAGCTACGGAATGAAGATACTAAGTTGATGTCAGTGTGATTTTTAGAAGCCATGGGTAGGTTCCACACTGTTTCTCAGCGACTGTGCTGCAGTAGAAGCAACAAATAATGGAGTTAAAAGGGATTTTGCTTTTATTTTCATTTCAGCTGTTTGTAAGAGATGTTATAGCTCCAGTACTCATCCAATCATAATACACATTTTTCCCGTTATGAATTCATTACTATTTAATTTCTGTTTAAAGTCAGCGGATTTGGATTTGTGTAGAATCCATGCAACCAGCATCTCATAAGAAATTCCCTGAAATTTTAGTGTTAAAGAAGATGGGAGGTGATTATATTGGACTTGGTGTATTTAAGGCCAATGAGGTATCAGAGAAGATTGGAAGGAGCCACGTCAGGGACCTGTGTAAGCGCCAGAGGCCACGCAGAGCTGGGAGATGGGCGCCTGTGGACACTTCACCGTCAGCCACACGCAGCGCCAAGCAGCACCCGTGGCTTATCGACGCTGGTTCACCGACGAGAAGTACATCAACGATCAAGTTTGCTCTTTGTGACGTTGGAAGGAAATGCAGGAAGCTAGAAATTGCTATATATTCAGCAAACAGCTGTTCCCTTTGTTTTTTCTTTAGAAAAGCAAGTATTTCATAAATAAGAGCAATAATTACTGTTCTGAGACTGATGCTGAGTGTGGTTTCTCTCCATGGAGCGTGGTCCCTCCCCCGTCTGACAGGGGTGACAATAGGGACAACTCCCATTACAAGGAGCCGAGTAACCAAGACGGTCACCAGGCAGGTGTCCCAAACGCGCAGACGGCAGGGGGCAACTGCTACTTACGTCCCATAGGCTTATGGAAAGTTTCACACCGAATGGCCCGTCCTCATACAGATGTCAGTGGACGTGAAGGAGTCTGTGCGTTTGAGAACCGACCTGGCCTTATTAACAACGACCTTTTATTCTTCTTGCCCCCAGGAACTTGTGGAGTATTACAAGCACCACTCCCTGAAGGAAGGGTTCCGGAGCTTGGATACCACCCTGCAGTTTCCATACAAGGAGCCAGAGCCCGCAGCTGGACAGAGGGGCAGCAGGGTGGGCAGCAGCTGTGAGTACTGCCCTCTAACGGGTGGAGGCACAAGAGCATTCAGTTCTTTCTTCCAGAGCTTGAGATCTAAACCAGTTAGCACGTGAATGCCTTTAGCAAGGGGTTTCTCCAGCTAAGCAGAGTCAGACGGACCGACAGGTTTAAAACGTTTCCAGATACGGTTCTTGGCGCCAAGTTAAAAACCATGTTTGCATTCAGAGCTCCAAATGTAAAGGGTATGTTAATATGTAAGTTTTGTACTTTTCAATGACTTTTACATCAGCCACACTTTTTTTTAAACCCCTCAACAGAGGATATGTTTATTGATTTTTTTTTTATAGAGAGGGAAAGGAGGGAGAGCAAGACAGAGAGAGAGAGAGAGAGAGAGAGAGAGAGAGAGATATCAATCGGTTGCCTCCCATAAATGCCCCAACCTGGAATCGAACTTGCAAAGCAGAAACTAAGGGAGAAGTAGGTCTCATCAGGGCTCTATGTGCCATGACCAGGAATTGAACCTGTGACCCTTCAGTGTACGGGATGATGCTCCAACCAACCGAGCCACATGGGCGAGGGCAGCCAGCCTCTTTTTCTTTTACACATGTCTGCGGTCATAGTGCCATATGGGTAGCAGTATTTTAGCAAGGCGCATGCCCAGCTCTCTCATCTCCTGTGATCCTGTTTAAAGATGACTTCCGGATCCTGTTTCCTCTGTCGCCAGTATTGCTGAAAGCATACAGTAGGCACTGTCTTTTGGATCGAGCACTGGTCATCGAAGATTAGCATGCAGACCGCAGGCAGGTTCTGGTTGGATGTGAGCTCAAAGCAGACACTTTCTTCTCATCGCCGCTTGATGTCATACGATCTTCCTGGAGGTAGACAGAGCTTGTAGAGAGACCATCGTGATGAAAAATGTTGGGAGTAAAGTGTGATTTCATTCTCTTAGTTTGATACCTTTTTTTAAAAAAAAACACCATAAAACTGTGTTGGAGGCTGAACACAATTTTATTACTCCCAGAATGCTTAGCCTAAGCAAACTGGGATTTCCAGAGGTATTTCAGAAAAGAATTTACATCTGTGCAATAGAATTTCAACTGCCCCCAGCCCCAAAAGCTGAAACTGAGGGAGAAGTAGGTGTCGTCAGGGCTCTAACAGCGTCCGTAAAATCTTAAACGTGTCCCATAAGCAAACGTTCAAGTGATTTGTCACATGCACTGACAGGCTTGGTGTTTATTTGAATAACGTCATAGCTATTCTCTTCGCAAGGATTCCTGACAGATGACCAGTCAAGGTAGTCACAGCACACTCGAGATTGAAACTTCCAACGCTGATTAGAAGTTATCTTTCTATCTTTGAGCCCAGTGTTACCCAGGTATCTTAGATTCTCAGGCAGGTGGAGGAGTTCTATGTTTTTCTGTCGGGTGATCAGAGAGGAGGTCGCTCCTGAAGTGACCGGGAAGAAGCGAGTTAGTGCTTCATTCAGTTAGGAATGCACCATAGTCTACACTCCAAAACCATCCGACTGTTCCCATGTCACAGGATTATAACCTTCACGCAGATCTGTGATTCTGCCCCGATGCTTTGTTTATTTATTTGTTGTTGTTGTTGTTAATCCTAAGATGAGGATATTTTCCCACTGATTTTTAGAGAGAGTGGAAGGGACAGGGAGAGACGGAGAGAAACATCGATGTGAGAGAGACACATTGATTGGTTGCCTCCCACACACACACTGACCAGGGCCAGGGAACCTGCAACCGAGGTATGTGCCCTTGACCGGAATCGAACCCAAGACCCTTCACTGCGAGGGCCTGTGCTCTATCCACTGAGCCGCACCGGCTAGGCTGCCCCAATGCTTTATTGACCTGATGCTGACTCTTTCTGCTGCAGTGGCTGTCCTGGGAGCGCTGCGCTGGCTCTGAGGGCTGCCCCGGTGCTAGGTATGGAGCACTCAGTGTGGCCCTGCACGTGGTCACACCCAGGAGACGTGGCCGCTGCTCTCTCTACCTCTTCAGCTTTTACTGCTACTGCTCCTCCTCTCACACAGAAACAGTTCCCTGTGTTTGTAAGAGTTGGATAGAATCACTGGCTTTAACTCAGCAATTTAATCTTCGCCTTTATCAACTTTTAGATAGGCCTTGCTTATCCAAGGTCTGCGAAGGGTACCCCTGAGTGACAGCCCTGCCTCTGTGTAGGGGCCTAGCCCTTCGGGGTGGCCCGGCAGTGGTCGGGGGGATGCTAGGTACCCCGTATGAACGTGTGTGCGGGATGTGTGTGCCCACCTCTGCTCAGTAGCACCTAACAGCAGCTTTCACCAAGAAGGGTTGCCGGGGACCGTGCATCCGAAAGGCCATGGAGCAGCCAGCTGCAGCCAGAAGCCACCCTGTGTCGGGGAGGCTGGACGGGAGTTCCCAGCTGAGATCTGCTGCTGGTTGTTCTTTGGTTCGGCTGTGATAGGGGAGCCCGGGCGTGTGGCGGAGGCTGCTCGCGTCTGCACTGTCCGGATTAGAATGTCCTTACCAACGAGATCGCCAACTCGTTCTTTAGTCAGTGAAATATGACGCGGTTAGGACAGAAGGCCCTCATGCCAATGCAAAAAACAAAAACACCAAAAACACCATGTAAACGTCCATAGATTGGAATTACCCAGGAGGCCAGGGGGCATCCAGCACTTCAAGTTTGCAGCCCCTTGTCCACAGGCTCTGCGACTTTGTGTCACTGGAATGACCTGAGTGTTTCCGAGGAAGAAGGAGAGAGAAAGGACGAGGCGAGAATAGAGGGGGGACTCGGGCAGCCGAGGGAGCCGTCTGCTTCCCTGGAAACTGCAGTGACTCCGTGGGAGACCCTCTGCCCTGTGCTGTGGCCTGTGAGCAGTGGTCCCAGCAAGCCCGCCCGCACCCGCGGCCCGTGCCCCCGAGGGCTGGTGTGTTTGGAGGGCACCGGGCTGCCTTTGCCCGACTTGCTCCTCCGTGAGCACTTAATGCTGTTCAGGTCGGACCTTCGGCCAGTGACTTAGCCCGCCGGGGCCTCGGCGCTCTCCTCCGAGGTGGGAGGGATGAGATTAGAGATGTTATTACGCGCTTTTAAAGATAGCGTCTTAGATTGCTTTCTTCGGGCACATGGGAGGAGGAGGGGAGGAATGTTAATGGACCAATTACACTGGGGAAAGTTGCACCATGAGCGATTTCATAACCATCAGCAGACCTCCGACATTTTGCAAAGGTCTTTAATTAATTGGACCACAGAGTAGAGTTGGCTAATTTTAAAAAAATGTTGGTTATCGGTATTTAGATAATAGCAAAGGATCTTCTCACAAGAACGTATTAGTTGGAAAAGTTGGAAAAATACAAACCACTTAATCAAGTGATCAGAGTTCACATCACTAATGGGACAGGCAGGTGTGATAGACCCCCAGACCTGATTCCCCCAAACACAGCCCCGCCTCAGCGGTCTGTCTGCAAGAGGCTTCACCTGCGTCTAACCGCCAGGAAACGCCAGGCAAGGCCAAACGGACAGGCTGGTTATTCTGCGCTTAGGAAGTCCACACTGTGTGTGCAGTGTATTCTAACATGGTTTAGAAAAACCACCAACATCGGTAAAGGAAGGTCTCAAGAAGCAAAGTCAGGACCAGGGGCCCCTGGGAGACACAGCTGCTGTTAACGCGCTGCGTGTCGCTGACGTGTGAGAAAGCGTGGGGAGATGGGTGGGCTCGTGAACGAAGTAGAGATTGGCCCGGTCCTCGTGTGGTGGGGACAGATATTAGAGCCATCCTTCAAGCACTGCAGAGGCGGCCTGGGTCGTGGCGACCAGACCAGTGACCTTGCAGGAAAAAGTGAAGGTCGGAGCCAGGGCTGGGCACGGCCGGAGCACAGGGGCCGGAGCACAGGGGCCAGCGACAGCAGCAGGGCGAGGTCGGAGCCGTGAGGGGGGCCAGACCGCGGAGGCCTGGTGGGACTTGACTCTGGACGCAGTGGGGAGCCTTGGAGGGACTGAAGCAAAGGAGAGACGTGGTCCCGCTTAAGGTTTTCCAGGCGTCCTCTGGCTTCTCTGTTGAAACCAGGACCACGGGGAGAGGGACGAGGTAGAAAGATGGAGACCAGTTGCTACTGCGCAATCGGTGACAGATGGTGCCACCGTGGCCACCGAGGGGCCATGCAGGTGCTGTATTTGGAAGGTGACCCAGCAGGTCATTCTCACACATCGCGTGTGAGCGGGAACAGCAAGAGACAGTTTGAGAAGGACTAAGGTTTTTGGCCTGAGTGACTGGAATGTTGGAGGTTTCTTTTTTTTAAAAAAAAAAAATATATTTTTATTGATTTCAGAGAGGAAGGGAGAGGGAGAGAGAAACATCCATGATGAGAGAGAATCATGGATCGGCTGCCACACACTGGGGATGGAGCCTACAACCTGGGCCTGTGCCCTGACCGGGAATCGAACCCTGACCTCCTGGTTCATAGGTCGATGCTCAACCACTGAGCCACGCCGGCCGGGCAGGTTGGTGGTTTTTTAGGGAGGGACTCAGCTGGAGCCCGAAGGCTCGTCGGAGCTTTCTCGAAGCAGAATGAACAGTCGCCACATCTCTGTTTCCGTGGGCCTGTCTCTTCGCTGATTTGTAAGCTCCCGTGAAGTCAGACTTGTCTTGCTTGTTGTGTCTCCTGTAGCTCCTAACACAGCATTTTGCAAGCTTGTAGTTATCTAATAAACGTCTGCCGACTCTTTTCGGAGAGTAAGGGTTTAGACTCCATACACTCGATGCCTCTAAGTCGTCTGAAACCCCTGGAGATGGCAGGGGACCTAATTTCCACATTAATAGGGAAGGCCTCAGACCTGGTGTTTCTCGGGAGTGGCCTCCCGTGTTGAGCACTGCACATGAAGCACTTGTTCCCTTTTTCTAATGATTCCAGATCCACGTTGTTCTTGTTATATCTGGATTTCATGTGAAAGGAGATTTGACCACTTACGTCCCCATTCAATGAAATGAAACCAATCTGAATTATTCCTTATTTTCTTTCAGTGACAATATATAAATATACAGTAAGCCCTGAACCAGGGGTTTTCAGTTTGTTTCATGGAGGGAGGTGGGAGCAGATACTGAATGCTGCTGGGGTCTAAGACGCAGCCCACACTCTGCAACCACGCCAGGTGAGGAGTCACGGTTCCGATGAAACATTCATCCAGCATGTTCTCTGCTGCGGGCCGTCTGTAGACAGTCCTGGTACGAAGAACCTCCTGGGTGGCACACCAAAGGGCCCACTTAGCATCCGGTTCTCCGGAAAGCCTCTCGGCCGCTGCTGGGCAGCTGACTCCCAGGGGTCCCCGCGCCGATGGCAGGACCATCGGTCCAATTGCCTGACATGTTTACGAACAGCTTTTTATTATGCAAATGAGTGGACACAAGTGGCTGCTGCAGCTTGGAGCTGAGCGTTAGGCAGTGTCTATCCCAGAGAGCAGTGGGCAGGTGCGTAGGGCTGTGTTCACTTACACACGTCATGGAAGGTCAAGTGGCAGTTCAGGAACGCGGTGGCACTTCCTCACGGGGCCCGAGGAGCAGTGCTGATGGCACTTGGTCTTCACCCTGTGCACGTTAAGCGTCACTGAAAATTGAATAGATTTTCATTCGCTCATGAACATGAGCTGCCTGCTCAAGGCAGAGCTTATTAATTAAGGCAGCGACTAATTAGCCTGACAGCCCTAGCCAGTGCTGCTCAGTGGTTAGAGCGCCAGCCTGTGCACCAAAGGGTTGTAGCTCCGATTCCCCCCAGTCAAGGGCAATGTACTTGGGTTGCAGGTCCAATCCCTGACCCAGTCAGGGCATGTGCGGGAGATGACGAATCGGTGTGTCTCTCTCACATCGATGTAGTTTTATTTTTCTCTCTGTCTCCCCCTCCCTCACTCCCTCCTTCCACTTCCACTCTCTCTAAAAAAAAAAAAAAGTCAATGGAAAAAAATCCTCTGGTAAGGATTAACAACAAAAACAACAACATTAGCCTTGACAACAAAAGTATAGGCGTCATGCTGTCACTCATTACGTTTCTGTTCCGTAAACACTGTGCTCTTCTTGTATCTGGAGTCCGTCGGTGCTGTGTAGCTCCCTTTCTTGGTCAAGTCTCAGAACTGAATAGCGTTCCGTAATGATTGGCCAATCAGCCGATTATGGCTATGCTGATAGATTCGATTCCCAGTGTATTTACTCAGCAGATGACTTCCGTTTCAGTTAGAGTCTCAGGACTTGGGATTTCATTTGTTTAACTTGGAGATCATATTTGATTCTATTCTTAGAGAAATGCTGTCACTAGACAGTGGGCCACTTACTTGGCAACGCTCCATGAACGTTAGTGTGTACAAGGCACCAGGCGTGTGGAAAGTAAGCGGAGATCCCCGCCTGGATGTGGGGGTCTCGCCCAGCCAGGTCCTCCTGTCTGCGAACGGGAGTGAAACATGTTTGAGGAAGGAAGGGAGGCCCCCACCAGAGCATGCAGTTTGCAAATGACCACACAGATCTCCGCGTTGACTTACGGTGGTCTAGGTGGGCCCAGTTATGAATAGGAGACGTTTTTCTCAAGAAGGTTCCCAAAGTGACGGGATGCCCAGCAGGCAGAACATGCGCAGTATTGGGTGAGGCCGGGAAGACAAGGGCCCGGAGATAAAACCCCTCCCGGCTCCTGTTCGAACTCCTCGGCTGGCTCTGACTCTCACAGCATCGGTGTTGGTAGAGCAGGTGGGGTCTGTGTGTGTGGGAACAGGTGGATCCGTTCCTAGTGTGGGTAGAAACGCGCTCTGCAGGCTGAACCATGCTGCGCAATAGCTGCATCAGCACCACATTCTGACATGGCTCACGTCTAGATCCAACCCACACTTCCCCACGAAAACGTGTTATCTGGTAGGCCTGTCGCCAGAGGCGCCAGGCATTTACAGGCTGTGTTGCCAGCTCGAGAATTAAGGACCCGAAGGCCGTGGAAATGGATGTCTCGGGAGGGTGGTAACGATAAGTCATGCGACTCTGCGTCTAAAGTGGGAAGCGTCCCGACCAGCCCTTAACCAGCTGCCTGAGACCTCTAGCTGGGCGGCGTGGTGCCTGCCAGGAGACCTACCATCTGTAATAGCCGGTCAGCAGCTCAGAAAAAATCACAGTTATTGTAGGAACATCATTGGTAGATGCAGGCTGTCAGGGACCCTGGGGAGTAAGACCCGAGCATAACTGGCCCTCTGCCCTGGGCCTGTGCTGGCTTTTGTTGGAGTCTTCATTGAGCAGGTGAAGCGAGCCGGTGAGCTAGGCGAATAGGAGGAGGAGTCCCGGGAGCTGGCAGAATGCAAGACCCCGCTGAGAGACTTGTCCGCTCCCAGCTTCAGTGTGTGCGGCCCTGGGCCCCAGCCCGCATCCAGTGGCGATGCAGAAGCCAGATGAGCTGGTCCCTGCTCCTCCGAATAACGGACCTTAGGTGAGGCGACACAGGAGCCCGCGGAGTCATTAGCAGTGGAGCCAGGAGGGCCATGACGTAAGCGTGAGTGGATTTCTTGAGTTTGCGGAAGGCCATGCGCTCCACCCTGCGGGCTCTTCAGAAGTTTTGGCGGGAAGGATGTCTTACGCGGAGAATGTGCAGGCTCCCCGTCTCCCGGAGGTGACAAGGCGGGGACCCACCGGAGGAGACGATGGAAGGGTTCCGGGTGGCAACATGGAGTGGGGTGCCGTGCTCACCCGTAACGGGACAGACAGCCCCGAATTGCCAGTCAGCACAGAAAAGGGTCTTCATTTAGAAACAATGATTAAGACGCAAAGTGAGTGCGAGCGAAGGTTGAGGTCCCAGCTTTGACGCGACAGTTTTCCTGTGATTATAGACAACGGGACAGTTGTGTCAAGATGCTTTTTTTTCTTTTGCTGACACCTAAATGTTCTTTTTGCTTCTCTCTCCCTCTCTCCCTCTCTCCCCCTCTCTCAGCCCCCTCTCTGTTCTGTGGGTTTTCTCTTGTCCCTCCTCCAGACTTCAGCTTTGTCCCCCCTTCCTCCGCTCCTTTCTGGTCAGGTACTGCTCCACTGCTTGTCCGTGTCGTTTCCATTTGCTTCTGTTTGCAAAGAAAACGGTTTGCTTTCTCTGTGTGGCTTCCCATGTAGATGCATCTCTTCCCCAACAGCCCGGTCACATTCACACCTGCACCTCCCTCCCCTCTGTCACAGCACCACTGCTTGCCATGGCATTCCACTCCTCCAGTGTGTGTGTGCGTGTGTGCGTGCGTGTGTGTGTGCACGCGCTCCCGTTCTGTATTTCAGCAAGACAGTTTCTATTCAACCTGTCGGGAGAGGCCGGGGAGGGATGAGGGTCGAGCATGTAAAAAGGGCGTGGAATACCCTATAAACCCATCAGTTTCTTTAAGGATCAGAAATTTTAGTTCAGAAAAGCCAGTGTTTAGAAAATAAATAGAACACAAACCCCCACTGGGTCTCCAAATGTAGGAGTGAAATTCAGCACAGACGGCCGGAGGATGACTGTGCCCAGCGTTTTTTGTCTGGGTATTTTTGCCTCGGTTTCTGTCATTAGCCAGAGAATGGAATGGTTATTCATGGGACGTCAAGGAGAGTACGTTATGGCTGGATAGAGGATGTTTCCTTACAGATTTAAAAACATTAACTTCTAAGTCCCAGCAGAACCATTTAGAACTAGGAGGGCCTTAGAAGTCAGTCACCTGGTACCCACCTCTCGTTTCACAGGTGAGAAAAATGTAGCCTCCAGAACCTCAGAGATGCAGGCCAGGCCTCGCAGCTCAGTCGATAATTGGCTTTTTCCATCACAGGGGTATTTTTATGTGCGCCCATCTAAGGCGTGCCCCATAATTCAGTAAGAAAACTATTCAAGTGGGTTTTGTCTGAGCAGTAAAATAAAACGATCTGTTTTTACTCCCTTTATACTTCTGAAATCTACAGCATTGCTACTTGTTTACCTTATGATTGACAGCTGGAGACTAAAAATATTTCTATCGTTGCAAAGCCACGAATGCCAGGCCAGGGAGCCCTGTGGCCACGTGCGCAGGCTCTGCCGGGAGGCTCAGGTGGCCATCTCGGCCGCCCGGGCTCTGGGCCCTGTTACAGACACAGGCGCGTGGTGTTTCCTGTTTGTTTCTTTTTCTTCTCCTTCAGTTCCTTCCATCCCAGGTGAGCGATTCTCAGAATCACTGAACATATAATTGAAAACACTTTATAACCCCAAAGAGCAACAGGTAGAGAAGTGGATATAAAAACATGTTCTGAAACACGAGATGCGAGCAAATGTGCAGCTCGAATGCGTTTGGGCAGGGAGTCAGGGAGCTCCTGGTAACACAGCAGGTCAGCGTCAACCATGACAGCAATCTGAGTATAGGAGGTGAGCATGCCGATGTCATTTTGTAAAGAAATATGTTCTTACTGATTTTTAGAGAGAGAGGAAAGGAGAGGGAGCGAGAGAGGGATAGAAACGTCAATAATGAGAGAGACTCTTTGATTGGCTGCCTCCTGCTCACCCCTTCCCCTTCCTCCCCCCCCCACGGGATCGAGGCTGCAACTGGGCATGTGCCCTGAACAGGAATCGAACTGTGAGCCCACCGACCTAGCTGACACCATTTTTAATTACATACATCAGTGAAGGTTTTCTGTGAGGCAGGATTCATTGGAAAGAGAAGATAAATTGTGTTTGTGGAAACCTGATTTAAGCTTCTTCACCTAAGTGGAAATTATATGTAAAACAGTAACTGAGTTTAGCCCCAAATAAGTTTAGCAATAACAACAAAGAGGCCGGCTGGGGGAGGAAGTGCCATTTAACTGGCAGCGAACAGGACTCCGCAGGAGACCTTCTGAGCAAAAACAAATTGGTTGTTTTGAGTCTTAGTCCTAAAAGGTTACTAGTAAACGGAAAGCTTTCTGCCTCCGCGGTTCTGGTTAGAGGCAGAATGTGTGGCATCGGTAGGAAGTGCATGCTAGCTCTTTCAGGTCCTTTCTCCTCAGATAGGAACCTTTTCTAAACAAAAATGAGCCCCTGTTTTGTCGTTTTGAAGAATGTGAGAACAGAACCGTGGCCTTTAGACTTTAGGCAGTGACCTTGACCCTGATTGCCCTAAAGCCATCCTGCTGCTGCTCCCGGGCTGCCTGCCATTGTCGCTGTCCGTCCGAAGTCACACCTCCGCATTGTGACAGCATCACTGACGCTCGCTCACCCACTTAGCCCCTCCGGGTCCTCACCCCGCAAATCAGCGACTCCCCGTCCTGTCTCCGCAGTGCTGAGCCCCAAGGTGCTGGGCATCGCCGTGGCGCGCTACGACTTCTGTGCGAGGGACATGCGCGAGCTGTCCCTGCTGAAGGGGGACGTGGTGAAGATTTACACCAAGATGAGCGGCAATGGCTGGTGGCGAGGAGAAGCGAACGGCAAGGTGAGCTCTCCCTCCCGTGCGCTCGTCATGGCACATGAGCCCGAAGGTCATGGCAGCTGCAGGCCCCCCTCGAGCTGCTGGGGAGCGGCCCTCCCCTCCCAGACTCCGGCTCCGGGCCCTGATGGTGTTTCTTACCCCCAAGAGGCTGCGCTGAGGGGATGTGATGGTGGCATCAGCGCGGGTCACCTGGGCGAGGGCACGGCTCCTGGTGGGCTGAGGGTTGAGGAGCGTCAGTCCCTCGGCCTCGGAGCAGAAACTTGCTGTGCAGAACAGACGGTCTCCCGGCCGCTGATCCCAGTTGGGAGGAATGGGACCCAGTACCGCTGTCTTCATAGCCCCCTCTGTTCTGTGGCAGAAAGAGGACTCATTCCATACCAGAGCCTGTGTCCTCCTTCATTTGCATATTCATTTGTGTGCCAGCCAATGGGAACTCTGTCCTGCTCTAGGAGCCCCTAAGCCCGCCTTACCCGCCTGCACTGGTATAAACTCCAGCTTAACGGGGCGTCAGGGAAACAGCATGCCGGGCTCACTGGTTGCTTCTCTCCTGTAGGTGGGCTGGTTTCCGTCCACGTACGTGGAGGTGGATGAGTAGGTGCCGGTCCAGCGTGGCTCCGCCCAGACCCTTCGGAGGTGGACAGACCGAGGCCTGCACGGCTGTGAACGAACCCATGTGTTTCAAAAGCTGCATTTCCGGCTATTCCATGTCACCCTCCTGAGTCTTAATCCTGGGGTCTAAATGCTGGTGCTGACAGACAGCTGGGCACGGGACAGCGACCACTGGGTCATTGTCGAGGCCAGGGCAAAGCCCGAGCTTTCTTTCTCCCACAAAGAGCCCAGCAAACACATGGTTCGTCTTTCCACTTCCTCCATCCGGCCCGACCCAGGATGCCACCATCAGGAAACGCTTCCCGCCCGTTTCTTCTCACCGGAATTCGTTCATGGTCCAAAGAAGCAGAGTTCAGTGTTGCCCTTCCCAGCACTGAGCCCAGAGAGCTCCGCCGTTGGCAGCCGAAGGAGGGTCCAGCATGACTCCTCGTCTTCAAGGGCCTCGTGGGGGCTCATGGCGAACACTTTCATTCAGCTGTGCACAGAGGAAGAGAGTGCGTAGTGCGAGCGTCTCCCTGTGAGGCCCTCCCGCCCCGTGGCCGCCTTGGGTTGTTTTGGGGATGTGGGCTCTCCCTTGGTGAAGTCACCTTGGCTGGCAGGGGCCAGGCGGCTGCAGGGAACCTGAGTGAGGACGCATTGTTTACAGAAGCAGATTAAGGGCTATCATGTCTATGAGGTCATTGGACAGGAGCGACATCTGTTAACTCGGGCCTTCTTTCTCCCCTGCCCCCCCCACCCCACCCCCAAAAAGACCGAGGTAGGAGGGAGTTGCGGGTCTCCCCCTTCCCGGAGTATTTACAGCAGCACAAGCACAAGCCAGTTTGCTGAGGGTTTGGGAAGGAAAGTACAGCGGGGTCCTGCCTGCATTTCTGGGCCCGGAGGGTCACGAGGCATTTCTGGGCTTCCTCGGCGTGGCCCCCAGCTTCTCACCGAGGGTCTCCCCACCCACCCGCAGCCCCTGTTGGGGGGGCAGGTGAGCCAGTGGGGAGATGAGTTTCTGCAGTGGATTGATTTGACCAAGCCTTCACTTTTTATGTGACATGTTCTCTGTGTGATACACAGAGGCCCGGCCAAGGCAGTCAGGTGAAGACACTACGTGGCCCTTTCCCGACGAAATGGTTTCTCTGTAGCACAAGGTCCCGTCCAGGTGAGATCCAGGGGGTGTTTCGGGTTTGAAGAGAACCTAGCATGAGAAGCACTAACTGAAGGAGCCAAACTGGAAGCGTCCGGTCGGAGGCTCTGGATCATGTCTGACGTGAGGGAGGTGCCACCTGCTCGCTCCCCGACCCTCTCGAATTCCAGAACCTACTGTTCAATGCCCGCCCTCCCCCTGTAGAGACCCCCGGGGCTAGGCCGTCTCAGATAGGATAGAGTTGGGACCTTTACCTCAGAATTATGTAAACTGTGATTGTGTTTTAGAGAAATTACTATTTGCTAAAACCAGTTAGAGTTGATTGTGTGTGTGTGTGTGTGTGTGTGTGTGTGTAAATGACCATGGAGAGGAATTTTATAGACGTCTGTGCAGTAGAATTGTGCCCTCACGGTGTGTCCCCGTCTTACCTGCAGCTGTGAGTCGGAGAAGGTGCGTCTGTCGCTGTCTGTGGTCAGGGAAGCAGCAGCGTCACGCACGGAAACACCCCTGGGCGGGGTAGGAGCGGGTGTTGCTGTTGCAGCCGCTAGACTCCCTTCCTCACCATGGTGTGTGGTCTTCCTGTTGCATTTCACGGGCCTGGGGGGCGGCTCCGAGCAGAGGCGGTCGGAGCCCCTCTCACGATGCTGCCCAAGCGTCTCTGTCTGCGTTTAGCACTCCATATGGACACGGTCAGTGTGCGGGTTGGTGTCGGTTTCTAATACCAAAGACAGAAGTCAGTGTTCGTCCACATACTTTGTCTTGCCCGTATGCAGCCTTGTGTACTATGGTGGGTTTGTTTCACTTTGTAGTATTTTGTAAATATGTCAATACAATAAATAGTTACTCCATGCAATAAATTGATGTCTCGAGAGCTGAAGAGTCTTTCCATTGAATGATTCCCTAATTCGACTTACAGCAGCCCCCCTCCCCTTATCCATGGGGGGTATATTCCAAGACCCCCAGACCCTTATTTCATTTGTCCTATGCATACAGTCCCATGATAAAGTTTAACTTGTGAATTAGGCACAGTAAGAGATGGACACTAATAACTAGTAGTAAAATGGGACAATGAAAAGGAGACACTGAGAGGAAAGTGACGTGACCGCAGCCTTGTGTAAACCAAGGGCGACTTGAACACAAGCATCGTGAGACATGACAGTTGATCTGGTCGCCTGACGGCCACTGAGAGACTGACCGGCCGGTAGCAGCGTGCACAGTGTGAGACGCGGGGCAAAGGCTGAGTCGTGGCCCGGCCAGACGGAGCAGGGCAGCGGGGCCTCCTCATGCTACATGAGTGCGTGCATTTTAATCTTATGAATGGAAGACTTCTGGGGTTTTCCATTTATGTTCATATCTTGGGTGACTGTGGGTAATGGCTACCATGGAGAGTGGGGGGGCCGCGGAATTCCAACCTCATCGTAAACATGGGAACGAAGCCCTGATTTTGATGAGGTAGCTCCCGGGTCGTGGCCGGTACATGGCGCTCTCCCTGTGTTTGTCCAAATTCCCTCTGTATGACAGTGCCAGTGATACTGGATTAGGGTCCCATCCTTCTGCTGTATGATTTCATCCTAATTAGGTGCATTTGCCACAACCCTCTTTCCAAAGAAGGTCACATTTTGAGGTACTGGGAATGAGGATTTCAACTTACAAATTTTGGGGGACACAAAACCTATAACAGCTCTCTCCCTTGCACTCTCAGATTGTTAGCTTCCTAAAGATACAAAAGCTTCAGCAGTGTGGCTCAGCAGTTGAACGCCGTCCCATGCACCAGGAGGTCACTGGTTCGATTCTCAGGATACGTGCCCAGGTTGCGGGCTCGATCCCCAGTAGGGGCTGTGCAGGAGGCAGCCGAGCGATGCTTCTCTCTCATCGATGTTTCTATCTCTCCTCCCTCCCTCTCCCTTCCATTTTCTGAAATCAATAAAAATATATTTAAACAAAAGAGCAGCAGTGAGGGGGTGCAGTGTGGGAAGAGAGACGTGCGCGCGGGAGAGGCGGAGCCACACGTGTCCACAGAACGTGTCCGGGTCTGTCCAGCTCAGCCTCAGGGGTGCGGTAAGGGACAGGCTTCGGTGGAAATGAAAGGAGTCGCCAACAGAAACAGTGCTTCTCCTGCTGCATTTCGCAGCTTCTCGGGCTGTCGGCCCCACGTGAATCCCCACTGGTTTTCTCACCGCCTGTGTTGGGATCGCACTTCTTCTCACCAGGAGAGCGAAGCGCTTAACCACCTTCCTGGGATGAGCTCATTAGGAACAAGCAACCTGCTTCCATGAATTAATGAAATGCTCCCGGGTCCTGTGCAGAATATGGCGAAGGGAGGGACAGCAGGAAGAGGGGCAGTGCCCTCAGCATGTATCACACTTGACGTGAGGCGTTCTTGCCTGGGTGGTTTCCACTCATGAAGTGAGATGCAGTGAATCTACGTCCGTGCAGAAGTTGTCTTCTCCACCTTTATTCAGTCTGTCTGGTGTACGCATGCTACTCAGTTCCTTTTGCTTTTTCCTGCTGGACATAATCCTATTTTTAAGTCTTGCCTCAAAGATGATACTGAGTAGATATCAGTGTGTGTGTGTGTGGCGGGGGGAGCAGGTGGGGGGGCACATGAAGGCAAGTGGAGGGTAAACCCTAAATTAACAACCCTGGTGCTAAGTTCGAAGCCATTGAACAGAAAGACCCAAGCAAAAAGCTGGTGTACTCTCTTGGGACTTCTCAGCACAGCCCAAAATACAATTAAAATTGTGCAAGAAGCCAAACTTAAACCTGTAATCGCATAGCAAGTTATTTTTAAAACAATTAGCAGTTTCAAAGTTCTTACGATGTTAAAAGTACATACATTTTTTCCCAAGACAGTTTTGCAGCACAGCTAATGGGCAAGCGGGAAGAGCGCAGAAATGGGAATAAGTCAAAGCAGATGCCAGTGTTGGCCACTCCCACTGACGGGCCAGGAGCCTCCACGGGGCCCTGCAGTCTCCCCGAGGCTCAGTTCCTGGAGGAAGGAGGAAGGCATCAAAGTCGATCCCTTCTGGGCCTACTTCCCTTTGTCACATTCTCCCAATCTGGATGAGACATTTACTTGCTAAGAATTTAGCAAATCAAGTTTGTACACAGCAAACAGAGATCTGAGGCTCCAACAAAATTGGGGTGCATCAGTCTTTCTTTTTAAAAAAAAATATATTTTATTGATTTTTTACAGAGAGGAAGGGAGAAGGATAGAGAGTTAGGAACATCGATGAGAGAGAAACATTGATCAGCTGCCTCCTGCACACACCCTACTGGGGATGTGCCCGCAACCCAGGTACATGCCCTTGACCGGAATCGAACCTGGGACCCTTCAGTCCGCAGAGCGTCTCGGCCACTGAGCCAAACTGGTTAGGGCACATCAGTCTTTGTTAACGTCTCCGCTCCCTCTACCTCACTCCAAAGTCAGCCTCCTCACACGGGGCAGGAGCCCCACGGCATCCCTACTCCCATTTCTGCTCCCGAACACAATTTGATGATGTCATTCTCCAGAACTCTGCAACAGCTTCTGTTTATTCAATGCGTGTATGGAGGGCTGACCCACGTGCACGGGCGCTGGAGACATGTGGTGGGCAAAGCAGACAGTTTTCTGCTCTGATAGAGCCTCCTTTATATAGGGAGACAGACAGTCAATGAATGCACGTCCTGTGGCAGGATGCACACAGGATGTGGTAGATGCAATGGAGAAAGTAAAAGGAGAGGAAGGAGACAGTGAGAGGACGGTGCTAATTTAGACACGGCCGCTGTGGAGGGCCTCTCTGGGGAATATTTGCACAGAGACTGGAGAAGGGCGGGAAGGAATCATGTGACTCTCCGGTGCTGACCTGCCGGTGGGGGGAAGGGCTTGTGCAGAATCCTAGGGCGAGTGAGCTTGGCTTGGTTCCTCTGAGCATCGGCATGTGGGTCTGTGTTTGCAGAGCAGACTGCACAAGGCAGCGGCAGGCGGCGAGGGAGAGAGCTAATTTTGGGATCAGATCATGTAGGTCCTTGCAGGTAATGGCAAGGACTTTAGGTTTTATTTTTGGGGAAAAACCACTGGAGAGTTTTGAGCAGGGAAGTGACATCACCAAACTGGTGTTTTCCGACTCATTTTGGCTCGTTGGTGGCGTATCACTGAGGGGAGAGGAGACGGGAGGCGGAGAAGCCGTGAGCATGGCGCACACCCAGGCGGGGAGTGCAGGTGGCCGCACTGGGATGACGTCACGGGGTGAAAAGCGCTGGGATTCGGTATATTTTGAAGCTGCTTGGCCTTGCTTACGGCTTGGATATGGAATGAGGGGGGAGAGAGAGCCACAGGCTGATGCCAACATCTGGCTTAAACGGGAGAGGCTGAGGCGTCATCTGCGGGAAGGACGGAGGGGGGTCGCCGAGACGTGGATGGCGGCTCCTCTGTGTGGGTGACACCCTCGCTGGGAGGCCAGGAAGTCAGGGCGCGGCCGCCTTCTTGGGTGAAATGGAAGAGGAGGGGCCCTGAGCACCGAGCAGGTGGCCCGGGCAGGCGGGGCCATGGGCATGGGCACGTCCGCAGGCTGCTTCGTGGTTCCTTTCTGTCTGTCTGTGTTAACCCTCACCCGAGGGTATTTTCCCACTGATTTTTAGAGAGAGTGGAGGAGTGGAGGGGGAGGGAGAGACGGAAACATCGCTGTGAGAGACACATGGATTGGTTGCTCCTGCACGTGCCCCGACCAGAACCAGGGAACCTGCAACCGAGGTACATGCCCTCGACCGGAATCAAACCCGGGACCCTTCAGTCTGCGGGCTGACCCTCTGTCCACTGAGCCACACCGGCCAGGGCTGCTTCATGGTTCTTGCTTTCTCTGTGTTTTTCTGTGTTTATTTTTTTTAAATTTATTTTTGTTATTATTGTTGTTTGTTTTTTTTCCTGTAATTTTACATTCCTTTTGAGCTTTAGCTTTCTGGACCAGCCCAGCCCGGCTCAGCTGTGTGCAGGATGGCCAGCGACAGAAGATTCTGTCCCCATTTGTGCCAGAGGCCTGGGTGGAGGGGGGGGGGGCAGGTGGCAGAGGAGTTTCCTGGGAGCAGGTCCCTTGGGTCCCTGGGCGAATGACTCGGCCCTGCCTGGAACTTCACGCTCCAGGGAGAAAAGCTTGTGCTTAACCAGGGAGGCGGGGGCAGCCACGGGGCCTAAGCCTGAGGTCTGGCCGGACGGCCCCTGAGCCACCCTCAACCGCAGCCCCGGAAGCCGCCCATGTGCGCGTCATGGGGGGCCGGCGTGTGACCAGGTGGGAAGACGCCTCCCAGATGTCATTATGAATTTGCACGGGAATGACGGTCCTCTCCTGTAGTCGGAGAAGGCAGGTCCGCCTGCTCTCCCCGAGGTTAATTTCTTTCCGCCCTTGAATGTGCGGGGTGAGTTTTCCCCAAGCAGCCCGTGCCCTGGGGTGGGATTCGTCTTCCCTTTAGCGGTCGGCCTGCTGCTGCACTAACAACTCCTCCGCTTGGGGGAAGATGACTGTTCACATATTCCTCTGGCGCCCTCGCTGGTGTGACTCAGTGGATAGAGCGACACCCTGTGAACTAAAGGATCCTGGGTTTGATTCTGGTCAGGGCACATGCCCAGGTTGCGGGCTCCATCCCCAGTGGGGGCGTGCAGGGGGCAGCTGATCAATGATTCTCACTCATCATGGATCTATCTCTCTCTCCCTCTCCCTTCCTCTCTGAAAAAAAAAAAAATCCCTCTGGCAAGGTAGTCCGCCTTGAGCGTGACCTTTGCCGCCAGAACCATGAGGTGGGGGGCCCGGGCTGGCTTGGGGCTGCGGGACCTCTGAGTGTGTAAACGGCGGCTTCTGGCCGGGGGAAGGGCAGGGGCAGTGCCTGGATGCTCCTCAGGACGGT